GAGGCAAAATGACTTACCCTCAATCTTTTCAGTATTTAGCTCTAAGGGTGCAAGAATTCATTCTTGGAAAGGGAAGATGGTCGTGTGATTTAGGGCACTGGATGAGCACTCAGATCTGAGTCCTATCCCTGGTTCTGCCATAGCCTTGCTGTGTGACCTTGCACAGTCATTTCTCCATGCCTCGGTCTCGCCTAAAATGGGATAACAATAGTTCTTTATTTCAGAGGAGGTATGAGTACAAACCAGTTCAAGGCTGTGCTGCAGAGATGCTACAGCAAAGAGAGGCACAGAAAAGCTCAGACATGGAATAACACCTTGCTATTAAAATGTGGGAAAACACACAGTAATTAAATGGAAGAATAAATACAAAACATAGGCCGATTTTTGAGGAATGCAACACTGATAGGCTTTTCTCTGTTACCTGAAATTAAAGCAAACTTAAGTGGGATTCTTACAGGTTTAAATGATTTTTACCTCACTCTGGTTTTGAGATCTGCTAGTACTAGAAGCCATGTATTATAAACACCAAGGAAATTATTTAATTGAAAACCTCCACATTGTTTCTGTTTTAAAGCAACCACAATTTCCAGCCCAAGAGAGGGTCAGATAAATATCCAGAGTAAGATTTTCAAAGCCATGGAAGAGGCCTACAAACATGACTTCCTTCAATTTACAGTAAAATATGAGCATGCAAATCTGAGGTAGCTTTGAAACTTCATCTTTGCTTTTGGGTACATTTTCAAATTAAACTATAAACAGGGTCACTGATCTTAATTGAATTGTCAGATGTCTGGAATAGCTTCAATACCACGATTCCAGAGTTATACTGTTGCTGGAATTGGACAGAGCTTTAGCAGGGAGCCTTCAGTAACAAGTATTTTTCCAAATGCAAAGATGAATCCTTTTCTCTCCACAAACACGTCTCTATGCAACAGCATTTGTCCTTCACAGGGGGTCAGTTATGGGCCTGTAGGCCTGGGAGACAGGATCTCGAGGCACATGCCTAGATAAAGCAATTGATTTGGAAATAAACAGATCAAAGGCTGTTCTGTCAGGCAGGAGGAGTGAGAAGAGATACATGATGAGACAGATCCTACGAAGGGAAAATCACTTTTGAGACAGAAACAGAGGGATGGGAAAGTCAGGCAGAGAGTATCTGAAAGTAGACCACAGAAAGGCAACATGGACCCGAGGAGGACAGCCAAGAGAACCTCATAGCTGGAATGCTGAAGCCCGCTGGAGGGAGGAGACTCGTGAGATGCTGTTCCAAGCAGAGTAAAAAGCCTAAGCTCAAAGACACGGAAGTGCTGGAGCTGCCTAGGAACCTCCAGGCCTGGAGAGGAGCAACTGCCTGCAGTCACCGTGCACTGTCTAATAAAGCAGATGCCAAGCAGGACAGAGGACAGGAGAAAAGGAAAGCAAACTGGCACGTAATCCTTGATTTCACTCAACAAAAGCAACTGAAGGGCAGCTCTGGAAAGATGAAGCACAGAATTAAATGTAATAATTGACTAGACAATCAGTGATCATGCACCATACTGTAACTCCAAAATTATTTTCGGGCAGTCCCCTACACATACACTTTCTGACCAGAAAAGACCTCAAAAAAGATTACACCAGACCAACAACTTCCAAATCTCTGAACGGAGGAAGTGACTGCAGAATGTAAAACAGAAAAACATTTATCCTCAAATCTCTACCTAGTATGCGCAAGGACAAAAACAAGGTGTTGGAAGGATTGTACGGAAACATGACTTACAACAACTATCATCTTCAGTTCCTTCATTAAGTCCCCTACTAGCCCCCCAGCCCACAAATAACAGAGCTGTCAATCAGGCACCTTGTGGCTCCCACTGCTCACACCCTTCCCTGTAACACTCCAAATGCAGTACTTTAAAGTCCACATGGCGTCCACCTCCAGTAGACAGCGGAAGAAGATATGACACGGCATTCACAAATGCACAGAGAACTGTTTAATTTACAGCCACAATGGTGAAACAAACCATTTCAGAGCTTGGACATTCAAAGTTAAGTCTGACACTCATTCTTATATTCACTTATTGTGCTTAAGTATTAGAGAACACAGGATTACATTAACCGTACACAACATCAGAGATCCCTGCAGGACCGAGTAGTGAAAGGATGAGAAAGAATGAGGGACCAGCCCCTCAAGTGGTGTAAGCTGGTACAGCTCCATTGCAGGCAATGGAGTGATGGTGATTTACACCAGCTGAGGATATGGCCCTTGAAATGTCCAACTTAACTTTGAATTCATGTCTCCTGTGTCACAACCTTTAATGTCACTGTTCCTTCTGGTTGTATCTGCCACTTTGAAGAAGGACTAACACCATAGCCTGCAAGGTTCGAAAGGGTGGCAGGAAGTATCTCAGCTGGACTACAGTAAGTGACACTACTCCTCGTATTTTAAAAACCATGGACTGGATCCTCATCTGATGTAAATTAGCTCAGGGACTGCTGAAGTTGAAAACATTTGCCAATTTATAGTAGCTGAGAATATAGCCCTGAGATTTTTGTGTTTTCTGCTGCATGCTGTATAAACACTGTGCTTGAGAACAAAGACTCATGTGCGTTTCATTCCTGGTAACAAAATTAACTCGAGACTACAAGTCTCAAACAAACGACTACTGGAAAAGACTCCATTCAGTCTTCATTCTCTCCTGGTTTTCTGAATTTGGCATAACACCTTTATTTGCTGGCACCAATAAAACGCATGCCTCTCAGTTTGCTTTTTTTCCAAGACTTAACTATAGGGCCAGACTCACTCTTGATGTAAATCATCAGAGCTCCATTGTACTCAATGGAGTTATTCCAGGGAAGCTGGCCCACACATCTCAATGCAACCTTCTTAATGCCAGTGCAACCACAGGACTCTCAAAAAGTTGTTTTGCAGATTATTCCACTTAAGTGACTCTGACATTCTTTCATACCTGCACAGTGTCTGAGTGGGTCACATAATGCTTTTCATCTACATGATTTTAATGGATATGTTTTTTTTTCATTAGATATCTTTTAGACAAAAAAGGAACGGAGCAACATTATTGGCATCCCACTGAAACATAAATATATAAATTACATTTTATACACTTTTCTTAAACGCAGACACATACATTCATGTGCATAACATTGTGAACAGTACACTTAGTGGAAAACAAGCACAGACAATCTTAGTTAAATGTATTTCCAGTTTTGGTGCTCAACAAATACACTGGGAAAATGATCACAAAATAGAACGGTGACTAACTCTATCTCTGCATTAGCATCTGAAGCCAATAATGCCTGTTAGCTAACATTGCTTTGTTTGGTTGAAATTGGACATAGCTACAGGAACAGGAGGGGAATGTTTGAACTATATTTAAAGAAATGGAAAGGTTAAAAATCTGTTCTTTTAAGGTTCTGCAGTTCATTCACATTTGAAGATATTTTTTATTTGAGTGGAAACACTGTCTTCAAGACAAACTTTTTTTGTCGTTCCAAACTAAGAAAACTCTTTCATCTCTTTGTAGATGTTTCACAAATAAAAGAATCCAGTAGTTCATTTTACATATCCAATGTGATAATCCAAATAAAACAAAGGGTACATAATCCAAACTACTGGGGCGGGGCAGTGATTTTGGCCAAGTGAGTAGCCATGACATATCTGGCACAGCCCTAAATTTCCAAAGCAGTACAGAAGGATTTAGCCATGTGGCTCCCACTGCAATCCACAGGGAACTGAACATTTAATCCTTTGGCACTTTGAAAACATAGGAGCTGGTGCCAGAGTATTTTATCTGCCCTGCTATAGTTAAAATAGATTCTGATGTTATTTGGGCTATTCTACTACAAAAATATGACCACAAAATGCTTTTTTTTTTCTTTTTTCTTTTTTTTTTTTTTGGTTCAAGAAAACATAGCAGGCTTTCTCAGGTATATAAAACTGTTAATTTTTAGATAAAAATACAAACTTCACCTTTACAAAAACACATATTTCTGTTGAATACACATAAAGCATAACATTTTACCAAAAATAAAGAATTTTAGGTTTTGTTCAAATATTTGCAGCAAGGTAGTACCCATGCCACCATGACATTGTACAATGCAGATACAAGAATTTGTACATTTCACACAACTCCAACATGTGAAATAGAAGTATCTGTATGCTGATAAGAATGACAATTGCTAACACAGTATCACTAGTAGGCAACTGGCATAAGTCTTAAAGAAAAAAAAGGATTTTTGCATGGATATCCTATGATTTGTTTACGCACATCTCTCTTTTTTTCTCTTTTTTTTCTTTTTATGTAATGCTTTAAATTACGGGGGAGGTTGGGGAACATAAACCAAGAAACGTCTAGAAAATTATGCATAGGTATACCATTTTTATTTTAATACATCTCATTAGTTCGCATCCCACTAGGAGAAATACCATAATGTTTTGTGTTCTGCTTATTGTTATACCAGTCTTTTATATGTGTTATTGGCAAATGTAGTCCAAGAGATAATAAAAAGCTAGGCAAAGAGTAAAAAGAAAACTTAATAATCACTTTATGGTGTAAAAAAAAAAATCCACTTAAGGCTCCCCAGAAGGTTTTTTTGTATAGACTTTTAAAACACCACCAAGCAAGGATGTATTGTTCTATAGTGTT